CCAAGAGCTGGCACTGTCTTCCCCTGTGTGGATGTCTGGGGCCACCAGGTTTCTTCAAATCTCACTGTGCTCCCTGATCAGAAGGGGGACTGTCTCCCCATGTGGTCAGGAGACCCGGAGTCCACAGACTCAGTTTGATTTACTTCAGCTTTGGAACGAGTGTCATCTGGGCATCCAAAGCAAATCTTTTTTTTCTACCTTTGTTAACTATGCATGCAGTGTTTAAATTCTTTTAACAAATGTCTTAATATTTAGGTGTATTGAGTTATGTTTGCCTTTGTCATTACATGTTACCCTGTTGTTCTTCAAAGAGGATCACGCTGATCAATATTCTCGTGAGGTTTTTTCATCTCTCCAACTGTAGTTGGACACCCAGACACCCGGAGAGCCTCTACCATTGAGTAAATGTCAGGGAGGGCTCTGGGGAAACCAAACTGGCTGTGTACTCAGTTTGGTTTATTGATTTTTCTGAGTAACCCTAAAAGGTTATCTTACCATAAAGTAGAAATCCAATAAAATGTTTCTGCTTTAAGGGTAAATTCAAAACATTTAACTTGTATATTTGGAAACGTAAAGGTATATTAAAGTAGTTGTCGCTTGCCCGAATAGAATCCATGAGCTTTCGCTAGTTTAATTCTCTAAAAAATCATTGAACTCAATCCCCATCTTTCTCACCATACAAGTACTTGGAATGCTTGTTATTTTCAATACACAGTTCTGCTTTCTCCTGTCTCTTGATGGTATTTTCACTTCCCTCCTGCCATCCTTTATCCTGACAGACTCTAAAGTGCCTCTGTGATACCTTTTCCATCTATCACTTCTTGATTGACATTCCCGACAGCTGAACAGCTGTCTGGTAGAAATTATCTGGCCACCTTCAAGGGGTGGGAGATCCGGAAGGGGGGCCAAATTGTGACTAAACCATGATACTCCCTCAGGGTATCGAATAATTTTAGTTTGTTCTGAAATTCATAACTTTATTAGTAAAAAAAGTTAGACATTCTTTCAAGATCAAATTGCAGGGAAAACAAAGAGGGCTTTAATTATAAAAAAGGACAAACATACATGTATTTTTGTTGGTCCTAAATACTCCAAACACAGGGCTTCCGTGGTACTTGTTGTGGGTTCTAGAATATCAGATCAAACCTGGCATTGCCCTGTCTCCTAAGTGAGAGTAGCTCACAACACACTCTGTTTACCTCACAACTTTCATTTCAGGATCTCCGAGATCGGTGACCACCTGTGCTTCGAATTGGAGAAAAAAGTTCAGTTGTTTGCCTACTGATACATAGTAAATTAGGACAGTTTTCCAGTTCCCAGTTCAATTTTTACTTTCAGAAACCAAATGTTTTCAGCTGTTGGACAGATTTTTGAGTCTTTTTATCCCTAATAAACAGTACAGGAAAGCTAAAGCCCCATTGGTATCTCACTATAACCAATGACAATGGCCCCATTAAAATGAGGAACTCTTTTACTACAACCCTACGTAATCTTTCTCTTTTTAATCTCCATTCATTCCTGATTTTTGCCTTTCCCTGCATTCATCTTCCTTATCTTCAGCTCTCTTGGTGGCTCCGTCAGTTACTGGGGGCCTGGCTGCCAGCTTCACTCCACCAGAGCCCCAGCCCCAGCGCCAGCGCAGCAGTGCTGCTCCCCACGCTGGTGCCTTCTGTTGGGACGTAAAGTCTGATTAGTGTCAGCCTGGGCGTTGGGGGTCAGAGCCTTTATCTGTCCCGAATGCTGAAAACCATTTAAAACCTCTTCAAATATTCAAATGAATGTCTGAATACAGATACTGCTTTTGACATTTAATTTGAATCACAGGCTCTGGCTTTTGAACTCTTTCTTTGATAACTGGTGTATTTTACTGAAACTCATGGAAACATAGAGGAGTCGCCCTGGCTGTGCCCCAGGAATAACAACAACACCCCTCACAATTCATTTCTCGACTCTCATGAAATTACCTACAGAGAAGAGAATGCTACCAAGGAGGGCTCTCTGCTTAGAATACTTACTCTATGAAGCATGGTGCTTTAGAGTGTGGCTGCGATACCTACCTACATCTGGTATGTGTTTCATAAACACCCAGATAGGCTGCTGTTTTGCTCCACACACTTGGATGTTGCTGCTGGTGGTGATTATCACTAGTACAAATGGCTAACATTTGTTGAACACTCCTCCTGTGCCAGGCACTACACTAGAGTGAGTATGGTTTTTATCCTTGTTTTTCAAAAACGGAAACTTAGAGTAAGTAACCTTCCCAAACTCACAACACTGATTTTATTTTCTTAATCTTCACCCAGGGACATTTTTCATTGCTTTTAGAGAGAGAGGGAGGGAAAGTGAAACATCCATGGGAGAGAGAAACATAGATCCGTTGCCTTCTCCTGTGCATTCCAACCAGGGACTGTACCCACAACCCGGGTACATAACCTGACTGGGAATTGAACCCGTGACCCTTTGGTTCATAGGACAATGTTCCAACCTACTGAGCCATACTGGTCAGGGCCCAAACTCACAGCATTATCCTTACCCCTTGCATACATGTCAGTGAAATTAGAAATGTGGCAAAATGTAGAGAAAAATAATGAAAATCATAAAACAGCTAGAAATTTTTTTATATGTAGCCATTTAGCTTAAGTTTTCCTAAAGTTCTAACAACAGTGCTCTTGAAGTATAGTTAATTTAACGTATTTAATTAAAAAGAAGCCTCGACACAGAATGTCCCGTCAACTAATATATAATTGAACAAGGCCCTGAGCCTCCTGTCCCTGTGCTGGGCACCTGCCTCTCTGATGGTGTTCGGCTCTGTCCTGTCATTCTGGTGGCAGCTCCTCGTAGAGGCCCAGTTACCATCTACCATGAATGGGGAGATCTTGCCTCTTTTTCTACCCTTGCCATGAGACAGGGAGCCCTGCCTGTCTTGTTTGCTGCCAGCTAGCGTGGCCCCGGGTATACAGCAGGTGCTCCAGAAAGACTTGTTAGAGGGGTGAGTGAGAATTCTCTCCCAGGCCAGGACCGGTGCTTCCTCGGATGCTCTTGAACAACCCCTTTGACGTCATTGCAACTGACCAGGTGCCAGATTGGACAAACAATTCTGGTATTTGCTTAAATTCTCACAGGGTTCCAAGCATTCCCCACTTGCCATTATCCTATAAAATAAGGAGCATCTGTGTGCAGACTGACTTCCTAAAAGTCAAGGTCACGAAGTGGCTGGATGAAAAGCTCAGTAAAAACTGTGCAGTAACCTGTTAATTTTTAGTGTCTTCAATCTTTATTTGTAGAGACCTTTTCTCCATCCATTTATTTGTTCCTCTCAAATTTTTGAGCTTTCTCTTTCTCTTTCTCTGTGCTAGGTCCTGGGAATGCATTGTTCTCCCCCTTGAGAGGCAGAGGTAGAGGGGAAGACAAACTTGTGAACAACTGATTAATACACAGAGATAAGTGTGGTAAGTGTAGATAAGATACCAAGATAAGTGGGATAGATAAGTGTGTATGTAGAAAGTGCAGTGGAAGTACAGAGGAGAGAGAAAGACTGGGGGAGTAAGTGAAAAGTTCACCAAAGATGTGACATTTAACCTGGGACTCAAAATTTACATGTGGCAGGAAAGAAGGGGAAGAGCATATTAGGCAAAGGACCGAACGTGTACAAGGACCAAATCCTCATGAACCTTCTATAACCACAGGGAGAAGTTAGTTCTGCATTAAGCACAGGGCACTTTTTATGGGGAAGGGCAGGAGTTGATGCTGTAAGAGTAGGTTGGTCAGATGTGAAGGATTCTCTGTGTTGGGCAGAAGTTTGAACTTTTTCCTGCTTGGAAAGCAGTCAGAGGTCTTTAAGCACGAGTGTGCCTCTGACAGTAACCTGCAGTAGTCTGTAAGTTACCTCCGGAGGCCAGGTGAGGGGGTGTCAGACACGTGGCAGTGGTCTGTCTGGTTCAGAAACCCATTGAAAAGGTACACTTGGCAGAAATGAATGCACATTAAATCAGAAATGGTTGTATGTAGAACAACAGGGAAAGAGAACATCAGGCTGTAAATCGCGTATCTGGGTATTTTCTCCAAAACCTTTTCATAGGAGAAGATTGAATTAACTTAACCCTTTACATGAACTACTAAGACACATGTTAACTCTCCAATTTACATTTTAGTCATTTAAAAAAATTAGTCTAAAAGAAGCAACCATCATCAACAGGTCCTTTTTTATGGACAAAGAGGCTTCTTGGCATTCGAAATCGTGTCTATGCATCTGTGACACTCACACTGGTGGCCTCCCATCCAGAAGGAAGGCCAGGCCCTGGTGTAGGATTGCTGGAATGTTCCTTGCTTTTCCTCCCATGACCCCCAAGTCAGAGTGAGGAGGGTGCCTTGGGTGAGCCCAAGTTAAAAGATCCCTGGGGGCGATGGGATGGAGATGGATGTTGATGGTTTGGGGCAGCCTGCCACAGCCAAGCCGCAACATCACGTTGCCTGGGAGTAGTCCTAAAAACTGACGTCGTCACGGTTCCACCTCCGTTTTTATCAGCTGGATGTGGATGAGGCTTCCTTGTCATACACTTAATGCTTTTGCTCAGGTCTTTGGCTAACCGATGTTTTTCCATGACTTTTTGACAGTTATTTTTATTCAATAATGAATTATAAAGTGAGATTTACCATCTGTAAATGACAACATTTGTTTTATTTTGACATTTCTTTTCTGGACAGCAAAGATTTTATAATTAGCTTTTCCCTCTGCCAAAAACATTGCTGAAAAACCATTTCCCTGAAAAAAAATGTTTCATAGTTTCCTTTACTCGTTGGAGTCTTCTTATTTGGATTTGGAAGTTTTTCTGTAAGTCAGTCAGGAAATGAAACAAGAAAAGTTCCTTTTGAAAATTAATTCTTAACAAGAACGAAAATTAACTTTTGCCCAAAGAAAATTGAGAAGGAAATGAAAATAAACATGTTTGAAATGATGGTGGTTCCATTATCTTTTAAAATTTTTTTATTGAGGTAAAATTGGCATATAACAATATATAAGTTGGTCCATATTACATATAATTGGTGCATAACATTATGTAAGTTTCATTGTAATTCAACATCTGTATGCACTGCAGAGTCATCACCACCAAAGACTTTTATGCAATACAACTGACCCCTTTTAATTTATGGCAGATTTAAGTGAGCATTATAGGAAAACCCCCTTTTCTACCTTTTTTCAAATGAGCTTATTTGCTTCTTGCTGTCACTCTGATCAGTCTCATGTCCGACTCCTTGAGACACAGGGGAGACTGTGCTGGAACTGATGAACTGCACCCTCTTCATCAGCTGTTCAAAGGCCTGAGTCTGTGGTGGCTTCTGCTCCTTTCCTGGTAGGTGGCAGCCGTCCGCCCTGTGCTGCCTGTGGAGATACGACACCCCACCTCCTTCCTGAACAGTTGAATTGCCCTCCTCATGGAGCCACGTCTGCAGTTGGCTCTGAGACGGGGGAGTCCCACAGAAAAAGTGGCAGGTGTGTCCGTTACCAGCGCTTTCTCTTTGCAGTGCTGTCGGAAAAGGGGGAGGACGCCACGTCAATAACTGACCATAGAATGGCTTATCGTTGCTAATGGCAAAAACATCACCCTGAGCTAATGGGAAAAACAGCCATTCTCACTGCATTAGTGCCCTCCCCTAGTGCAATGAGGAAACACCTTCCAGCTCCTACAGTAGCAGCAGCGGCCAAATTCTCTTTACAGACTGGAGTGTTTTCCTCTCTAAGTCATACCTGAAGGGCTGCTCCTAGAATCAGATCCCAAACGCAGCTACCCTTTCCCCATCATCTCCACTCTTATTTCCACCCCCATCATCATCCAGCAGTTTCATATCGAGCACTAACAAATATGTGCAACTGAGAGCCATTTTATAATATCTCAAATATTTAAAACGGAGGCATCCGGCATCTTCTACAACCAGTGAGTCAGTATCGTTTATCACAGTCCAAGTGACAGAGCAAAATAATAGTGCTGTCTCGGCCATTCTTGTTCTCACAGGTAGAGTGTAGCGTTTCTTTCCAGTGTATTCTTGTGATTCAACATGAACAGCACCTTCTTTTAAACTGAAATGGTGGCTGTGGGTGACATGCCCTGAGAAGTAAAAGGAACATGGAGGCATTCCTCTGTCTAAAGACAGTGTGCCTTCTTTTGAAAATGCAGGTGGGTACATGTGGAGTAGAACGTGTATTTAATACACTGGCTTAGGTGACTCTTTGGGCCTTGGGTTTTTGTCAAGAAGAGATGTGAGGTTTAAGGAGAGGTTCTTGAAAGTCCGTGATAGCAAATAAGATGGATTGTCATCCACCTGTGTATTGAAAAATTGGCACCTTCCTCTAATCCCTCCCCTTCACGAAGCAGAGAACTGAGACCTGGTTTGCTAAGGGCTTTAATCAGAAGCCTCCTTGGCAGTAGATCCTTGAATTTCTTACCCTCCAACAACAAAGGTGTTTTTCTTCTACGGGGAATTTTCACCTTGCAGAGCCCCCCTTGTGCTACATCATCGGAAGGGCACACTCTGTGCTGAGGTTGACTGTGCTCGTGGTTTTCATGGGGGAGTGAAGATCTCTGTGGCCTGTGGGTACAAACCCACGCTCCCAATGTCAGGGGTGCAACTCTCTGGGAGCAGAAGCCGCCTGGAGAGTCATACAGACCTTGTTTGAATCCCAGATTTGCCACTTCCTGGCTTGTCCTTTCCTTTTCTTTTTCTTTTTATGTTTTATTTTATTTTGTTGTTCAATTACAGTTGTCCCCATTTCCCCCCCACCATTACTCTCTCCTACCCTACTTACCCCCCACCTCCCACTGTCCTTTTCACATTTCTTTTTCCTTTAAGGCAATGGTTGTAACATTAGACTGTTGGGGTTGTCATAAATATTAGCTACCATTTATTTAGTGCTTAGGTTGTGCCAGGTACCCAACTAGGGATCATTCCTTGGCTATGATGATAAATGGTGTCATTTGAGTCTCACCATAATACACAAGGTAGCAGTTATTTTATTTATCTATTTTTAGAGAGAAGGGAAGGGAAGGAAAAAGAGAGGGATAGAAACCATCAGTGTGTGGTTGCCTCTCACATGCCACCCCCACGGGGGACCTGGCCCACAACCCAGCCATGTGCCCTGACTGGGAATTGAACCAGTGACCCTTTGGTTCATGCGCTGGTGCTCAGTCCACTGAACCACACCAGCCAGGGCTCAATTATTGTCTCCACATTATAGATAAAGATACTGAGGCAGCCAATTGCCTTGCATCACACAGGTAGTGTGTCAGGCTCCACATTCTGCGAGAGATAATATGAAATTAAAGGGGTGCCTGGTGCATAGTAGGTGATTGCTTAACACATATTCTCTTTCCTTCCATGGGTATCCTGTGGCTTTGACAGATCTTAATTTTTGTGTTAGATTTTTATATGTATAAGGCCCTGTAGAGCAGGTCTGTATTACTGCCCTCATGTGGTTCATTTGGGTAACAGTGGTTTTTAACAATTGTTTAGTTATAAGTATAATATATGTGCAAATAAGTGTTGTTTAAAATATGTCTCTAAAGTCACCTAAGTGTGTGGATACTTTTGAAGATAATACGATTCTACAACCTCACTGCATAAGAAATATCACTTTTTACCTTCTATGGTCCAATTTAATTTCTGACTCTGAGCCCTAAGCAGCTGGTAGGATACTTAACTTCAGTTACTGCTGTAACTTCTCCGCTGGCTTCACCAGTGTCCTCCATTTCTTCGGTTTGCTTGGAAGGAAACCCTTCTCCTCCCTGGCACAGCACACCATGAAGCTTTTGGTCTTGCCATCACCCTTTCGGGAAGGGAGGAGGTTTTCTTACAATTATTTTTTCCATCTGACTGTTCTGTTTACAGAGACATTTAGCCCACTGAAGAAATCTTCAACTTTCACACTTAAGAAAGAGTTCAAATCACCAGAGAGTAGAATGTTAGTTCAATGACCAGTTTAAATGTCAGAAAATGTTTCCAGGAGGAAAATAAAAGGGTCCATTGTCCCCACCTGTCAGGAGCTTTAAGTCACTAAGTAAAACTCCCTCAGAAGTTTCCGTGTGCCAGAATGTCCCAGCTTACCTGGATTCATACTCTTCTGTTCCACCAAATGCATTGTACACATTCATTTGAAGCTTCATGCATCAGTTAGCACAGGGCTCCATCCCAAGCAGTTACCCACAGGGGATGGCTGCTTTCCAGGGGCTCTGTCCACAGAGGCCTGGTTGGTCTCCTGTCGGATCTATGCCACGCTGCAGTCTGGTTACGTCTGTGTGGGGGAGGGTGCTTTCGGGTGGGAACAGGGTAGTTGGTACAGGAGAGGGTTAGGAGGAATTACCTTCTTCAGTCCTTAAGCACCATTTAATAAGAATGTATATAGAAGTCTTCCATTCTTAAGTATTGTCCTAATGCCACCACCTAATTGTATTTCAGATAACGGAGGGCAGACGTTGGCCGGGGGCAATAACTGGCCCCTTCGAGGGAGAAAGTGGACCCTGTGGGAAGGCGGCGTCCGCGGCGTCGGCTTCGTGGCCAGCCCCTTGCTGAAGCAGAAGGGCGTGAAGAGCCGGGAGCTCATCCATATTTCCGACTGGCTGCCCACCCTCGTGAAGCTGGCCGGGGGGAGCACAAACGGCACCAAGCCTCTGGACGGCTTCGACGTGTGGAAAACCGTCAGGTGCCCATGCATCTTCCTCTCCTCCCAGGGCAGAACTCTAGGGCAGCTTGCTCAGCTGAGTGAGGGGGACAGCTGTCGTGTTAAAATGGTAGTTCAGCTTCCAGCTAAATGATTTTTTAAAGAAATGCTTTTAGGGATATTGTAGATTTTTTTTCAGGTTTTTGAACTGTAGATCTCTTTAAGTCTAGTCTAAAAGATGTGAACTTACAGGGGGAAAAAGGTACCTAAATATATGCACAAAAATTTAGATAGAATTTATTTTTATGATATTAGGAATTGATTACACTTTTTTCCCTATGCGATTGTGTTACTTGTTAGTAAGTCAGTCCCAACTCCTGGCAACTCCATGGATGAGGGATGTCCACAATGTCTTGTCGTCAGCAGCCTGATGCTTCTTTGGTAGAATCAGTCCATCTTATGTTTAATCTGCCTCTTCTCCTGCTGCCTTGTATTTCTTTTTACCGGCATTGTTATCTTTTCCAAAGACCTCTGTCTTATGATGGACCCAGAGTAGAGTAGCTTCCGTTTTGTCCTTTTTTTTTTTCCAGCTTCGTTTCAGGTTTAATTTGCTCTAGGACCACTTGTTATCTTTCTAGCAGTCCAGGAAATCTGTAGAGCTCTCCCCCAAATTCCAAACAAATCGTTTTTTTTTTCGATCAGCCTTCTTCACTGTCCAACTTTTGCACCTGTAGTAGTACTTGGGAGTACACTGGTGTAGATATTCTTAGCCTTGGTCTCTAATGACATATCTTTGCTCTTGATGATCTTCCCTAATTCTTCCATTGCTGCCCTTCTGAGTCTCAGCCTTCTCTTGATTTCACAATCAAGAAGCTCACTTTGCCAAATGAGGGTGCGATTGAGTTGAGAACTAGTGGAATTCATTTGAATAATTTCCTCTGTCCCAAACTTACTGAGTTTGTTATCTTTGAACCAAGTCACTGACGTTCATCCACATCACCAAATTTTGGATTGTAAGTCCAAATGTCAATCTTAAGGTTATCTTGGATCAGAAGTAACCTTTAAGAGTTTGGCAGTAGTTTGCTTCTGCCTGCAGAAAAATTGGAAAAAGTTTGGCCCCCTTAATTCCAGATTTGCCTAGTCTTTCTTCGGTGTCAGAAGAGCTGAACTCACAGTGGCCGACCTCTTACCAAACAGGTGCCCTCCTTTCTTGAACAGCATACATGATGTTGACTGCAGGGCCTCACTGAAAATGTATGGCAAAAACCATTATCCAAGTGTGTTAAACCATGAAAAAGTACACATTCCTTTTCTACTTTAAAAAAAGTAAAATTGCTGCGCAAAGTATAATCCAGCATTTTAAGACTTTCCTCTGGAAATCCAGCAAGCTGCCCTTAGTGAAGAGCTGCTCTCATTCTGCTCCCCTTTCTTGATAAAAAATATCCTGAAAAAGTGACTTAGCCCTCCCCCCCGGTGAAGCTGGTGCCTCTCTCAGGACGAGGCAAGCCTTCGTTCAGTATTGGAGGCAGCACATTGGGCGCCCACGCCCGCTGAGACAGAAAGTGGTCAGTCACATTGGCATCTGGAGCTTCTTTTCCGAAGCAGCAAAAACAAGAGGACAGCCAAGTGCCAGAGACACTTGATCTGTGCCCTGAGTTCTGCAACTTTTTCCAGTCAGATATTTGCTCGGAAATACCATTTTCAAGAGGATGGTCGTTTTTGAAAATTTCAAAATGGTCTCATGAAATAGGAATGCCAGTAATGGAAGAAAAACAGAGTCGGCTGTGCTGAGAGCATCGGAAGTTTCACTGGCTGCCTAGTTATCAATTCCTCTTAGACCTGCTCTAAAATATTAAAGTGTCAGGAGAATGTCGG